TAGAATACAGTTTCTCTTGAGATGAAAAAAAAAAAAAAATTGAATGCTAAGTTAGAAAAAGCAACAAGTAAAAGGCTTACACCTAGACTTGTTATTCCTGTTGTTAAGTGCTGTCAAGTCGTTCTGACCCACAGTGACCCTGTATAGGAATTCCAAGGAACACCTGGTGAGTTTGAACTGCCAGCCTTTCAGTTCAAACCAGACTTGCAGTCCAGTGCTTATCCTGTAGCACCACACCAGGACTCCCATACCAAGACTATACTTGTGCAATTCCAGAATTCCAAGGCAAAATAGAAAATCCTTAAATGTTTTTTCAAAAGGAGCCAGAGTGCTCCTTGGATGCCAGGATGGCCAAATTTCGTCTCTCATAACTTTGGACATATTGTCAGGAAGAACAAGTCGCTGGAGAAGAATGTCATACTTGGTAAGGTGGAGGGTCAGAGAAAAAGGGGAAGACCCTGAACAAGATGGATTGGCCAAGGAGCAGCAGCATCGATGGCCTCAAGCATGACAATAGTGAGGATGACCCAGGATCGGGCAGTGTTTCGTTCTGCTGTGCATAAGGTCACTATGAGTTGGTACCGACTCGATGGCACCTAACTACAGAAGGTTTCAAAGAAGAAACAAGTAAACTGATAATCTATAAACAGATGAGAATAAATTTCAACAATTTTTTTCAATGTTGAATGCCCAAAGACAGTGGGACAGTACCTTAAAATTTAGAAATAATTTTAAACCTAGAATTCTGTAAACTCAAATATTAGTCAAGTTTAAAATGCAATGAAGACATTTTCAGACCTACTGTGTGCAGAGAACTTGCATGTATCTGTGCACCTTTTCTGAATAAAATCTTTAAGATTTACTCAAGTACATTGAAAAAAATAAAAACCAAGAAAAATGACAGCACACGTTACAAGAAGAGATGTTACTTAGTCAATACACATTATATTTCAGAGTAAATATGAAGGTGTTTTAACACTTCACAGAAAGATGAAATAAAAATAATGGAATTTTTCAATGACCTTTTTGAAGCTGCATCATAACTGCTGAAATTGTGTCTTTGAAACTTAACACTGTTAAAATGTTTTTTTTTTAATTTGAAGGGAAATGAAAAAATTGTAATTACCTGGATTTCAGATTATTTCAATCAAACACTGGGGGAAGTGAATTTTGTTTGGGAATAGCAAGTTATAGTTATTGGTTACTTTTCAAAATGAAGAGAAAGCTTAAGTTTAAATACCCATGTATATTTTTACTATATGGATATCCAGTAGGAGAACAAATTTATTATCTATAATTCTCTAAAAGGGAAAACATAGACAAAGAATATCTGATAAATCTATATAATAACAAGAAAGCACAATACTAAAAAAATCATAATAATTAGAAAACATTAAAAGAAAGGATCGTATTATATAGCATGTAGACTACCACAGTAAATGAAATGAAGTGCAATCTTACATTTAAAAATAATCTCATAAACAAAACATTAAGTAGATGCTATTTATGGTGGTATCACCTGCCATTGAGTTAGGTGCCAACTTGTGGTTTCCCTATGTTCATTCTTTCAGCAGTTCATGGTTTTTTCAATATTCTTCATCAACACCATAATTCAAATGCATCAGTTCTTTCACTTGCATGAGGTGACTGAAATACTACGACTTGGGTTAGGCACACTTTAGTCCTTGAAGTGACATCTTTGCTCTGTAACACTTTAAAGAGGTCTTCTGCAGCAGATTTATCCAATGTGTTATGTTTTTTGATTTCCTGAATGGTGTTTCCATGGGCATTGATTGTGAATCCGCGCAAAATAAAATCCTTGGCAACTTCAATTTTGAATTCCCATTCTTTGTGACATTATCCACAGTTTTTCTTTCTTTTTTATGATCCATATGTTGAGTCTCTTTGCATAGTTAATAAAACACATAAATATTTTTCTGATATTCACTTTAATACAAGATCCCATCTAATGTCAGCAATGATACTCTTCATCCTCTTCTGAATCCAATTTGAATTTCTGTCAGCTTCCTGTTGACATACGGCTGCAACCATTTTTGAATTATCTTTAACAAAATTTTACTTGAGTGTGATAATAATGATGTTGTTCAATAATGTCCTCATTCTGTTGGGTCACCTTCCTTTGGAATGGCTACAAAAATGGATCTCTTTCAGTTGATTGGTCAGGTAGCTATCTTCCAAATTTCTTGGAGGGAGTGCCTCCAGTGCTGCATCAGTTTATTGAAACATCTCAATTGGCATTCATTTCATCAATTTCACCAATGCCTTCAGTATAGCTTAGACTTCTTGCTTCAGCACAATTAGTTCTGGATCAAATGCTAGCTTTTGAGATGGTTCAATGTTGAATAATTCTTTTTGGTACAGTGATTCTGTGTACTCCTTCCATCTTCTGTCAATGCTTCCTATGTCATCAAAAAGTTTCCCATGCTGCTAGTTGTTTGTTAGGTGTTGTTGAGTCAGTTCCAACTCAGTGACCTATGCACAGCAGAACAAAACACTGCCTGGTCCTGGGCCATCCTCACAGTTGTTTTTGTTTAAGCCCATCACTGCTGTCACTGTCAGTCAATCTTCTTGGGGGACCGGGGAGTGTGTGTGTGGGGAATCTTCCTCTTTTTCACTTTACCAAACATGATGTCCTTCTCCAGGGACTAGTCCCTCCTAATAACATGCCCAAAGTACAACAGATGAAGTCTGGCTGTCCTTGCTTCTAACAAGCATTCTGGCTATACTTCCAGCACAGAATTGTTTGTTTTTTCCTGGCAGTCCACAGTTCTTCCAATATTCTTCTCCAGTACCATAATTCAAATGCACCGATTCTTCTTCAGTCTTTCTTATACACTGTCCAATTTTCACATGCGTATGAGGTGATTGAATATATCATGGCTTGGGTCAAGCACACCTTAGTCTTCAAAGTGATGTCTTTGCTCTTTGCCATTTAAAAGAAGTCTTTTGCCTGATGTCATTTGATTTCTTAACTGCTTGCATAAGTGTTGATTCTAGATTCAAGCAAAATGAAGTATTTGACAAAATCAATATTTCCTTCATTTATCATGATGTTATTTATTGATTCAATTGTAAGGAGTTACGTTTTCTTTACAGTGAGGAGCCCATAGAATCCTTCAATATTGTAAGTCAAGGCTTAAATTTTTCTTTAGTTCTTTCACTTTAAGAAATGCTGAGTGAGTTTCCTGCAGGCAATACTCAGTCTTCTCACCAGTATGCCATCTAATTCTTGAGTAAGACTTTAGTAGCATTGGTTTCATGGCCCTTATGGTTGGATATAGCCTTAATGACTGTCTCATAATCATTTCTGACCTAGATAGGCATCCTAGGTTTTGGTTTTATTACTGTCTATCTTCACAAAGGCTTTCGATTGTGTGGAACATGACAAACAATGAACAACAGTGTGAAATATAAGAATTCCCGAACACTTAATTTTGCTCATAAGGAATCTGTACATGGACCAAGAGGCAGTTTTTCAAGCACAACATGATAAGACTGGATGGTTTAAAATTAAGAAAGGTGTGCAACAGGGTTGTATTATTTCACCATGCTTATTCAACCTGCATGATGAGAAAATAATCTGAGAAGCTGGGTTATATGAAGAAAAATGTGACATCAGGAATGGAGGAAGAGCCATTAACAACCTGAGATATGCAGATGATACAACCTTATTTGCTGAAAGTGAAGAGGACTTAAAATAATTACTGATGAAGATCAAAGAGCACAGCCTTTGGTATGGATTGCAGCTCAATGTAAAGAAAACAAAAATCCTCACCACTGGACCAAAAAACAACATTCTTATCAATGGAGAAAAGATTCAACTTGTCAAGGACTTTATTCTTCTTGGATCAACTATCAACACTCATGGAAGCAGCAGTCAAGAAATGAAATGATATATTGCATTAGGCAAATCTGCTGTATAAGACCTTTTTAAAGTGTTGAAGAGCAAAGATGTCAGCCTGAGGACTAAGGTGCACCTAACCCAAACTATGGTATTTCAGTAACCTAATATGCATGCGAAAGTTAGGCCATGAATAAGGAAGACCATAGAAAAATTGATGCTTTTGAGTTATGGTGTAGGAGGAGAATATTGAAAGTGCCGTGGGCTGCCAAAAGAACCAACAGATTTCTGTTGGAAGAAGTACAGCCAGAGTGCTCCTTGGAGGCCAGGATAGGCAAACTTTGTTTCTCATACTTTGGACATATTGTCAGGAGGGCAGTCACTGGAAAAGGGTATCATGTTTGGTAACGTGGAGGGTCAGAGAAAAAGGGGAAGACCCCCAGTGAGATGGATTGGCAATATGGCAGCATCAGTAGACTCAATTGTAGCACCAATTGTGAGGTTGGCCCAGGACTGGGCAGTGTTTCATTCTATTGTGCATAGGGTCACTATGACTCAGTACCAACTCAATGGCACCTAACAGCATCTTCAAGCAAGTCCTTTAACTTCTCTGTGTCTCATTTAACTTGTCTGAAATAAGGAAAATGTGCTAAAATCAGCAATCATAAAGGTCTCTCCTTCCTCTAAAATTCAATACTCTTTGATAGGATTTTTACTTATATTTTTTTATCTGTCTCTTTTCTAAAATCCCAATATTGACAGAACTATTTCTGTAGTAGCATAGTGGTTACGTGTTGGGCTTCTAATCTCACAGTCAGCAGTTCGAAACTACCAGTGATTCTGTGGGAGAAAGATGACACTTTCTGCTCCTGTAAAGATTTACAGCCTTGGAAACCCTATAAAAGATCACCATGAGTCTGAACTGACTCCACAGCACACAACAACCACAATTTCTGTAGTATATTATATGATATGGTCATTGATTTTCTGCCCTCTTACACTTGTTTCTCAGGTTTATTTGTTATATTCTTTGTGTTTAAGAACCAACAATGCTCAGTTCATAATTGATGCTAAGCAAATGTTTCTTAAATAAGTGATTTGGATGCTCTCCTTCTAAATGTGGCTTCTTCTTATTTAGCTGCGTTACAGGCACTAAAGAGAAAGAAGAGATTTGAGAAGCAGTTAACACAGATTGATGGCACACTGTCCACCATTGAGTTCCAGAGAGAAGCCCTGGAAAACTCACACACCAACACCGAGGTGTTAAGGAATATGGGCTTTGCAGCAAAAGCAATGAAAACAGTTCATGAAAACATGTGAGTGACTTTGGTCTCACTTCTGAGTCATAAATTCCCTTGATGTTGAGCAAAGTCTTTGAAGCTGTTTGATGATTTTTGCAGATATGAGCTTTTTCATTTGAGATTCTCTGACATGTTAGGATGAAATGCTCTCTCAGAGAAAGATTAGATATTACAGTGGCAAAACCTGCCAAATCAAAAATCCAAAACAAAACTGCTATAATGGTTTCAGAGAGGCCATGAAAGACATTTTGTCCTTAATGTTTCCCAGATGCTTCCCTACTGTCTGAAACTCCACTTGTAAATACTTTCATTTAATAATTTTAAAAGGCTTAAATGTAAACATATGTGAGCATTTTAGAACTCTTACAATATCCTATCCATTGCTGTCTAGTAGAATTCCAACTTACAGAGACCAAAAGGCCCGAGAACAACTGCCCTATAGGGTTTTCATGGTTGTAAATCTTTATGGAAGCAGACTGCCCCATCTTTCTCCAGCAACTATAGAATAGTGGTCGTGGTTTTTTTGCCTTCAATTGGGCTCCGACTTATATAGCGGACCTGGATAGGGTTTTTGCAGCTGTAAGTCTTTACAGGAGAGTAAGTCTCATCTTTCTTCTTCAGAGTGTTTGGTAGATTTAACTGCTGGCTTTGCAGTTAACAGTTCAACTCGAAACCCACTGTACTGCCAGAGATCTGTGAACCATAGAACAGTGGTGGTCAACTTTTGTGAGAATCAGAATCACCTAAAGAATCAACAAAGAGCACAGAGGCTCAGGTTCCTTAAAGTAGGATAGATCCTGGGCCTTGTTATTTTAACCCAGCTTCTCTGGTGATTTTGATACTAAACAATTCTCAGGTGATTTTGATACTAAAAATTAAATACTGGCATTTCAGCAGTCGCTAAGATAGTATAGGAGTCCTGGTGTGACACTGTGGTTAATGCACCAGACGGCAAAGTCGTTTGAACTGCAAGGTCGGAAGTTCAAGCTCACCAGCTGCTCCTTGGAAACCCTATACAGTGTCGCTATGGGTCGGAATCGATGCAACGGCACTCAACAACAAGATAGTATAATCAATATTGTCCTGAGTTTGGAAGTCAGATTTTTTTAGATTATGGTTCCAACTCTACTGCTGACTGCCCCCTGGGCAAATTACTTTGCCTTTCTGTGATTCAGTTTCCTTTTCTGTAAATTGGAGATCGTAGTTATCTCATATGGTTTTAAGATTCAATGAGATACTAGATTTAATGCACTTATCATAGTGCCTGGCACAAAGTAAGCACTCATAATCAACATTCACAGTGTAGGAGGGCTGTGGCAATTTGATTTACATGCACATTGAGTAGTCAATGTCTAGAACCTGAATAAAGGTGGGAAAAGGAAGGCTGGAATCAATGAAGACAACTTTTGCTAGTTTTTTTCTTGTTTTGATACTTCATCAATAGTTAGCTACCATTTTGACATCTTCAGAAAGATGATTAGATCCATTATTTCAGTCAGAATCCTCTAATGTTGCTTAAGCTAGATGCTAAAATGTATTACAAACCTCCAAACCTATTGTGTTTGTTTTGGAAAAATATACTCACAGGCCCATACTTTAGTCATATCTTCCTCATACTTCTTTTTATAAACACATTCATATACTTATTATAAACAGAAGTAAGAGTTGGAAATGAGACATGATAGGAGGTTGGTAAAAGTATTCTTTTTGATCAGCATGTGAATGAATATATGTCAAGACATTCAGTTTTTATTTTGTATGTTGTTATTGTTGAGTGGGTACTGACTCATAGTGATCCTGTATGAGGTTACCAAGGCTTTAAATCTTTGCAGGAGCAAAGTCTTATCTTTCTCTTACAGAGCAGCTGGTGGGCTTGAACTGCCAACCTTGTGGTTCACGGTTCAACACACAGAGTCTGGGAAATTCGCTGGATCAAAATTTCAGTTATTAGGTTAAATCTCTTGTATCTAGTCAATTTCAGAACTGGAGGAATGAATCAGAGACAAGTTCAAATACTGGCATTTCAATATGATCAGCTTGGGCTGGTGGTTAGTGACTAATGGGGCTCAGGGAGTAGAAACTGTCATCAATGTAGCTGTTTATTCTGGTCCTGTGACTACCTGGGTTCCTTTGTTGTGTTGCTGATTCTTATGAGCGCTTCATAGGTCTAATCCTGCTCTCATTAGTGCTCTTCAAGAACATCGGCAGCTATGGGAAAGCCCTAGGAAACAGAATCCCAGAGCGGCTGGGTAGTCTATGAAATAGATCTCCAGTTCCAGAGTTTAACTTTACAAAAAGCTGTTGCCAAACAGTGGTTACTTAGAATTGCCATAGGTTCCCTTAGTCATGGTCTTTTGTGGCCCATGGCACTATTTCCTGGTGAGTTGATACACAGCAGCATATATTTAAATTATGCATATGTCCTACTAGACAAAATTTCAAAGTGGGTCTACAAATATTATAATTATAAAATAATATGATTGTTAATGATTTCCAAATACAGTGGCTATTTATGTAATATTTAAAATTGTTGTTGTTAAGTGCCTTCGAGTTGGTTCCGACCCATAGCGACCCTGTACAGGGTTTCCAAGGGTGTAAATCCTTACGTGAGTAGAAAGCCTCATCTTTCTCCCACAGAGCAGCTGGTAGTTTCGAACTGCTGACCTTAAGGTTCGCAGCCCGATTCGTAACCACTACGCTACCAGAGCTATATATGTATATTTGGGATTCTTTCTTTCTTTAAATGCAAATCAGCACGAGGGATTTTTGTTTTCCTGGTGTGGCGCTGTGGGTTAATGCACCAGACTGCAAAGCCATTTGAACTGCAAGGTCAGTGGTTCAAGTTCACCAGCTGCTCCTTGGAAACCCTATACAGGGTAGCTATGGGTCGGAGCCGACTTGACAGCACTTAACAACAACAATAACTTAAGTAACTAAAGATTTATATTAAACTATTTTTCATATGGGATTGTATTTAAATTCATATTTTTAAGTTAAAATTCTAAAATATTTTGACAAAATTTTATTGCCCAGAGATCTGAACAAAATAGATGATTTAATGCAAGAGATCTCAGAGCAACAGGATATTGCCCAAGAAATCTCAGAAGCATTTTCTCAACGGGTTGGATTTGGTGATGACTTTGACGAGGTGAGTAACACAATACAAAGAATGCAATATCTGTGGCTGTTCTAAAGGGCCGTTCTCTTACTTACAGAATTGACTAACAAAATACATTTGTTAGAAATGTACTTTCCTTAAGAGGAAAATGAAGTGTTGGTGCCCCTGATTTAAGGAAAAGATTAATATAGTTTTACAAATAGACTCCTAATTAAGTTTTCAGCTATTAAGGAAAAAAAGCAGCATGAGATTATGGAAAGTTAGTGACTTTTAATGGTTGAAGCCTAAATAGCTCCATTAGGATGAACCAAGTGCTTATACATCTGGGCACAACAAAGCAGATTGCGTCATTCTTCAAGGAAGAGACATCTCATGCTCTATAGCTGTTAAATTAGAGTTTAGGCTGCTTCTGTTTACTACGGAAGCTATGAAACAAAATAAATGGGGAGTGGCATTATTAACACACACATTCCATTTAGATTAATCAGTTCTACAATACAGACTATAATTATAATGGTAATGTTTGCACTGTGAATTTAAATTGCTCTGCTCAAAGCACATACCAGTAGGAGTAATCCATGTTTTAAAACATTTCCAATTATCAGATTAGCATGGCAGAGAATCTGACTTCCTGTTAAGTGTTGTTGTTGTCTAGTCATTTCAGACCCATAGGGTTTCTGAGGAACGGCTGCTGGATTCCTTGAAAACAATCAACAATAGTCTACAAAGATAATATTCTACATTTTACCTTGGTGAGTAGTGACTGGGGTCTTAAAAACTCACGAGCAGCCATCTAAGGTACAACTGTAGGTCTCTCCCTCTCCATAAGAAAGAAGAATAAAGTAAATTGAAGAAACATGGAAAGAATTAGTCCAGTGGACTAGACCATATGAACATAATCTCAAGGGCCCTGAGACCAGAAGAATTAGATGGTTCCCGACTACCACTACCAACTGCTGTGTAAGTGATCACATTAGAAGGTCCTGGATAGAGTGGGAGAAAAATGTGGAACAAAACTCAAATTCATAGAAAAGACAAGGCTTACTGGTCTGATAGAAACTAATGGAACCCCTAGAAATATGGCCCCTAGTCACCCATCAAGTCTGTAAATGAACTTACCTTCATGGCTCAATTTTCAGCCAAACAATAGACAGATCTATAAGAAGAACAGTAACACTAGGGAGGTATTCACACTCTAGAAGAATCAACCATTTGAAATCAAAGGGCAGCATTTACCTAAGGACAAAATTCAGATGAGTTAAAAAACAAAAACAAAAAACAGGAGGAATAGCAATAGAAAGCACAGAGAGGAAGTGAGACAAGTGATATGACAATATGGGGATTGTAACCCGTGAGATGAGACAAGATGTTTATGAATTGTTGAATGGAAAACTGATCTGCTCTGTAAACCTTCACATAATTCACCCTAAAAAGTTAAAAAAGATAATTAGTGAAAAGATTCAAAAGTGGAGGTATGTTTGACCTCGACCTCATAGGAATCACCCCTGAGCTGTTATGTTGATTCTCCTTCCCATTTGTGAAGTTAGAGGAGATCAGATACGATCTATGCCTCCATTTTTACAATTGTATATAGAACAAGCAAGAGAAAGTATTCATGTAATAATTTAGAAAACAATTTTTTAAAATAAATTTTAAAGTATTGATACCACATTATCTAACTATAATATAATAAAGGTTGTTGTTACGTGCCATTGAGTCATCTGACTTATAGCAACCTTGTTAAAGGCTTTCAAAGCTTTCAATCTTCATGGGAGCAGAAAGCCTCATCTTTCTTCTACAGAGTGACTGGTGGACTCCTACTTTATACCTTGTGGTTTGCAGTATAGTGCTTATCTTGTGGAACCACTGCGTTCCCATAATAGAAGTTGTTGTTGCTGTTAATAACTGTCATTGAGCCGTTCCAATTCATAGTCACCCTGATACTGTTTTCAAGGAGTGGCTGGTGAGTTTGAACTGCTGACCTTGCAGTTCAAACGGACCTTGTGGTCCACTGCTTTATCCTAGAGCATCACACTGGGACTCTATAATAAAGGTAGAGATTAATAAAAAGAATATAAGTAAATCTTCCAGTAAGACGGTGGACTAGACACAGACATTACATGGACCCTTTACAACAAAGATGTGAAAGACTAAATAAAACAGACATAGATGAAAATCCTGGAACCCTGAACTTCAGAAGCAAGACTAGAGAAGTGGATTAAGTGTTTGTTTGCTGGGAGGAGAAGCTGACCAGGGACCTGGAGAGAGGGAGACTGACTGGTGAATGGTCAGCCAGATGTGGCAAGACTATTTGCCTCCATTTTCTAACTACAACCACATGAAAAAGGTGAGAGCCTATAAGCACATCAACAAACAGCCATCAATAAGATAGAAATACAAAAACACCACAGTGCTGTAGAGACAATGGACAAATTTAGCTCACAAAATGAAATAAGAGAGAATGGTACAAACAAATGACCAGGATTGCAGTTCCCCCCACCCCCCCCAAAAAAAAGTTTCTGAGGGAAAAAAAGGTAATGGAACTAACTGAAAAATAATTCAAAAGAATTATATTTAGGTACCTTCAAAAGATTGACAGAAAGATGTACAGCAGCAAAGAGAACAGAGGAAAAACTTTAGAAGAATTCACAAAAAAAAACTACAAGAACAAACAGACAAAATAAAGGCAGATTTTGAAACAATATAAAACCTGCTATTAGAAATCTAGGACATTAATACTAGGGTTTCAGAAATGGACAATACATTGATAGGGCAAAGGAGTAGATTTGAAGCAATGGAAGCCAGAATGAGTGAGCTTAAAGAGAAATCACTCAATACTAGTATGCTAGAAGAACAATCAGAAAAAAAGAATGGAAAAATCTGAACAAAACATAAGAGTTATGTGGGACATCATGAAGAAGAAGAATTTATGGGTGATCATAAAGACACAGTAAAAAGGACAGAGAAAATTGTCAGAGTTGTTGGAAGAAAACGCCCCTAACATTATGAAAGACAAGAAGATAAGCTTACAAGAAGCTGAATGAACCCGACAGAATACATCCCAAAAGAAAATTACCAAGACATATCATAATCAAACTTTCCAAAACCAAAGACAAGGAAAAAGAATCCTTAGAGCATCTCAGGAAAAACAAAAATTTACCTATAAAGGAGAACCAATAAGACTAAGCTCTGATTTTCCCACAAAAACTGTACAGGTGAGAAAGCAATGTGCTTGCATACACAAAACTCAGAAAGAAAAAAATTGTCAGCCATGAATAACATACCCAGCAAAGCTGTCCCTTAAATATAACAATGAAATTATGATGTTTCCTGATAAACACAAACTAATGGAATTTTTAGTAACAATCCAACTTTACAAAAGAGTGCTAAAGTTTGCTCTTTGGACTGAGAATCAACAACAGCAGAGAGCAACTTGAGATTAACATACATGACAACAGCACCTAGAAATCAATCCAAATATAGAAGTAGTTTAAGTAAAACAAACCTACGAGACCAACTATAGGGGACCAGAGATATAAATTTATAATGAATTAAACTAAAAATAAAAAAATGGAATAGTATAGGTACAAAACTTCCAAATGGCAAGAGAGGCAAGTGGATTTCAAGATAAAACAGACTGTTTTAAATGTAGAAAAAATTAATAGATTTCATGATGCCCTCAAACAAAATGAATATATCTTCACATGAAAATAAAACAGAGGTAAATCAGAAAGATTTAGTAGACATTAACACAACAGAAATGAAGACAATTAAAAGAAAACCTACAAACAAAAAAACTCAGTGCAGAAAATTATGTGGAACAAAGAAACCAGCAGATCACAAAAACATGCAGCAAATGACAATCAATTTATACCTTTCAATAATTATATTAAATGTAAATGGATTAAATGTACCAGTTGAGAGACAGCAGCAGAATGGATAAGAAAACAGGATCCTTTAGTATGTTGTTTACAGAGACACATCTTACACACAAAACCAGAAATGAACTAAAAATCAAAGGATAGAAAAACTGTATACAGCCAATAGCAGTAAACAGTGAGCAGGAGTGTCAATCACTGATAAAACAGACCTTAAGCAAAAACCAGCATAAAAGACAAAGAAGGATATTATATTATAATTAAGGGTTCAGTTGAACAAGAGGACATAACCATAAATAAATATCTGTGCCCCCCAATGAAAAAGTCTCAAAATACATAAATCAAATTCTAATATACTTGAAGAAATATATAGACAACTCTATAATAATAGTGGTGGTGGTAGTGGTCCTGTGCTGTGGAGTCAGTTCCAACTCATAACAACCCTGTATAGGGTTTCCAAGGCTGTAAACCATTATGGGAGCAGAAAGTCTCATCTGTCTCCTGCATACTGGCTGGTAATTTCGAACTGCTGACCTTAAGGTTAGCAGCCTGACTCATAACAACTATGCTGCCAGAGATAGTAGGAGATATTAATACACCACTTTTGATGAAAGACAGAACAAACTCAACAAAGACACAGAAGAACTGAACAGCACAACCAACCAACTTGACTTCATAGATTTATACAGTGCACTCAACCCAACAATAGCACAATATACATTATTTTCCAGTACACATGGCACATTTTACAGAATAGACCATATGCTAGGCCACAAAGCAAACCTCAGTAAATTTAAAAACATCAAAATACTGAAAAAACATCTTTTCAGGTTACAATACTATAAAATTAGAAATCAACAATAGGAAGTTTAAGGAAAGAATATCAAAATACTTGGAAATTGAGCAACAGTCTGTTTAAAAGCTACTGGATGATAGATCAAATAACAAAAAATGAAATTACAAAATTCCTTGAGTCAAATGAGAATGAAAACACAATTTCCCATGGCACAGCAAAAGCGGTGGTCAGAGAGCAAGTTATAACAATAAAGTCACACATCCAAAACAAAGAACCAAAATCAAAACTTTAAGCATTTCCAACAATTAAAAAAGAGCAGCAAAGTAAGCCTACTGCCACCAGAAGATAAATAATAC